ATCTCCCCGACAGCTCGGGTTTATGTAGGATGCTCCTTAGGGTGAAGGTCGTGACCACCGATATGGGGTGACATTAAAAATAGGGTCTAAGCTTTTGTGAAGCTATGACCAATGCCAAGGCCAACTTTTTGAGGTGGGGGTACCGTGTTTCGGCGTCGACCAGGGTTTTGCTAATGTAATAGATTGGAGATTGCACACCTTTGTTTTTATGGACCAGCACTGCACTTACTGCGACCTCTAATACAACCAAGTATATCAAGAGGCGCTCGCCATATTCTGCTTTGGCTAGTAGTGTGGGTGAAGATAAGTATGCCTTTAGTTCTCTTAAGGCCTCGATGCATTCTGGATTCCACTGGAGTCCGTTGTCCTTTTTAAGCACATTGAAGAATTTTTGGCATCTGTCAGAGGATCGTGAGATGAACCTCGACAGGGCAGCTATACGGAGGATCAGCTTTTGTACCTATTTCTTACTAGTGAATACTTCGGGTATTCCCTCGATGGCTTTGATCTAGTCGGGATTGACCTCGATGCCTCGTTGTGACACCAGAAAACCGAGGAACTTGCCCGAGGTTACGCCGAAATCACACTTTTCGGGATTTAGCTTCATGCCATATCACCTTAGTATACCGAAGGCTTCCTTCAGATGGTCGATGTGGTCTTCCTTCCTTTTTGATTTGACCAACATATCGTCTATGTAAACTTCCATTATTTTTCCGAGTTGGTCCTTGAACATCTTGGTGACCAGCCTTTGATAAGTCGCCCATGCGTTCTTCAACCCGAATGGCATGACTTTGTAGCAGTACATTCCTTGGTGGGTGATGAAGGTGGTCTTCTCCTGGCCCTCCTCCTCTATGAGGATCTGGTTTAGCCTGAGTAGGCGTCCAACAAGCATAATAACTCGTGTCTCGCTGTTACGTCGATGAGCCGATCGATGTGAGACAACGAGAAGGAATCTTTCGGACATGCTTTATTTAAGTCTGTGAAGTCTACGCACATGCGCCATTTCCCATTTTCTTTTTCACCATGACCACATTAGCGACCCATTGGGGGTATTTAGACTCCCGAATGGAGCCGTTGGTGAGCAATTTCTCTACCTCTTCGTGGACGGCCTCGTTGATTGTGGCATTAAACTTTCTTCTGATTTGTCGTACTGCTGGGTAGAGTGGATCGACATTCAGCTTGTGCATGGCAATGTCTTTCGGGATACCTGGCATATTTGCATGGGAGAAAGCAAACAAATCGGCGTTGTCAATTAAAAATTTATGAAATTTACCTAGTTTTGAGAGTATATGGCCGATGTGGGCCTTTTTATTGTGGTCGTTGTTGTCTAGTTGAACGGGGTCGAGGTCCTCTATAGTTGACCCCATGGCTTCCACGATGTCGGGATCCTTGATGACATCTTTTTGTTGGTCGGATTCGGACCCTGACTTTGGTAATTGCTATGCTTCTGAGCGTGTTCCTTTCAACTGTTGAGTGTGTGTACAATCTTGGGCAATGTGGTAGCATTCTTGGCTGTGCGTTGTTCGCCTCGGATGCTGAATATCCCCCACAGAGTAGGGGACTTGATTACTTGATATAAGCTTGACGGGATAGCCTTCATGGCGTGTATCCATGGTCGCCCTATGATGGCATTGTAAGTTGTGTCCTAGTTCATGGTATGAAATGTTGTTTCTAGGGTGACGCCTCCGGACATCACGGGATCTCTCTTGAGGTTCGCTCAACTGCATTGTTAAAACTTGTTAGCGTGATGCAGCGTGGTACTATTTTGTCCTGGAGTCTCATTGTGTGAGAACTCGAGGGTGAATAATACACGCGCCGCTCCCGTCGTCTACCATTATTCTTTTTACATCAGTATCTGCAATACGTAAAGTAACGACAAGAGCATCGAAGTGAGGAAAAGTCAAACTGTGGGTATCTGAATTATCGAAGATGATACTGTCTTTGAGGTCATCATACCGTTCATGGGTGATCGACCGTTTCAGTTTCTGAAATACGTAAAGTAATGACAAGAGCATCGAATTGAGGAAAAGTCAAACCGTGGGTATCTGAATTATCGAAGATGATACTGTCTTCGAGGTCATCATACCGTTCATGGGTGATCGACCGTTTCAGTTTCTATGTGGTGGTGAACTTCACGTGATTGACTGTTGCTTCGTCGCCTCCGCCGATGATCATTTGGATGGTGCGGGCGGGGGAGGGTGGCTTTGGAGGGCCTTGGTGTTATTCTCGTTCGCGGCCGAAGTTGGCTCTTCTTCGATCGCTCATCAGCTCCCTTAGGAGTCTTTGGTGGAGCATGTTCACTACTTCTTGCCGTAGGGCTATGCAGTCTTCGGTCTTGTGACCCCGCTCCTAATGAAACTCACAGAGGACGTTCGACTTTCTGGTACTTGGGTCGGACTTCATATTTTGTGGCCACTTCACCTTCGGGCCGAGCTTCTCTAGTGCGTACACTATTTCTTAAAGGGGAAACACAAAAATTGTGAGCAGATAAGAGTGGAGGCATACCTCTTTTGTTTCGCTGAGTCCCCGTGTGTGGATTGGAAGGCCCTTCTATATGGCGAGGAGATGGTGGGATGGCTGTTCTGACATATGGTTGGTACCAGTCCCGGTTAAGGCATGGACATGAATGGTCTCTTCGGCCGTCATTACGATGGTCTTTCCTCGACTCCGTTTGGACCGACGTTAGCCGTTGGGTTGGACCTTTGAGGTCATCCTCGTCTGCTCTTACCTCAACGCAATAGGCGTTGTGAATTTCTTCCCAAGTGGTAAGAGGGTATTTCATGAGTCTGCTTAACAACTTTCTGGTCGTCCTCGACCCATTCCTGTTCAATCTATTTTGGAAAGCTGCCACCGCCATCCCTTCTGATATGTTTGGCAAGCTCATTCTTACTTTGTTGAACCGGGCGAGGAAGTCCTTGAGTCCCTCGCCAGGTGTTTGTCTGACGGTGAATATATCATTCACCCTGGCCTCCACCTTTTTAGCCCCGGCATGGGCGGTGATGAACTTGTTGGCCATTTTCTCAAACGTTGTTATTGAACGCGCTGGTAATTGTAAGTACCATGTTAAGGCTCCCCCTGTTAAGGTTTCGCCGAACTTCTTTAGCAAAACTGATGGTACCTTCTCCTTTGAGAGGTCGTTGCCTTTTACCGCTGTGACGTAATGAATGATGTGATCTTCAGGGTCTGTTGTGCCGTCGTATATCTTCAAATATGGTGGCATGAAGATCTTGGTATGGCATGTGGGGCTGCCTCCTCGTTGTACGGTTGTTCGACGAACCGGCTGACATCCCGTTTTGGTAGCAGTTTCGGTGCGCCCGGTACCTTATCAACCCTTTCTTGATGTTCCCTCATCTGGTCGCAGAGCGCTTTATTCTCGTTCTCCATTTCTTCCATTTTCTTTAGGATGGGCAAGTGCGTCGTTACCTGCATCAAAGCGGTGTGAGTGTTACCTGTTGGAGGAGCAGGTTGCTCGTTGGTGGTTGCTGTGGTATCCGCTTGTGCGGCGTTTCTATTCGCCCTTTGAACGGGTTTGTCGAGTATGTTGTTTAGAGTACTTATCAACCATTCCTCCAGTAGTTTTTTCACTGCTGGTGGCGCTTCCTCAGTTGTGGACGTGGAGGCTCCCCTTTCGCGTGAAGCGGTTACACTTCCATGAGGGGGAGGTGAGTCATTCTGCTTGGGTGTAGCACAAGGCATCACATTCTCCTCGTCTTCTCTGTCATCCTCGCTGATGGTGTTCAAGAGGTTGGTAGTGACGCCTGCTACTGCTTTCTGTCTTTCATCTCCTTTTCCTGCCATTGTTAGTTTCGTGCAAACGAGAAAAAGATGGCCGTTGTCGTTTTTTTTTTTATCTAGAAAAAACTAAAATTTTAATTAGAAGTTCCCCAGAGACGGCGTCAAATTGTTTGACCAAAAAGTGTTAAGCTTTTTGTTAAACTAATTAATGAAGAAATAAAGGGTGAATCCTAGTTAAACGTAATATATTCTAGATCTAAAACTGGGGTATATCAGTGATATGAGACCGTGTTCAAAAATAATAAATATCAAATATATGCTCAATGATTGTCAATGAATGCAGTAATAGCAGCATGCAATAAGTGTAGATAATGGCAATAAATGTAATAAAAAAGAATTTATCACCCAAATGTTAGGTGACTTGGATGATTCTCCTTCCTGGCAACAACGTGAGGAATAGAAAAGGGACATGGATAAGGAATCTTTGGATCTTGTGAATGAACAATGTATATTGAACAATGTAATCAGTAAACAAGACAAGCTTTTGTATGTTCTTTATAGTCAACTCTTTACAATGTGCTCTTATCGAAAAATGAAGGTCCCCTTTTTGTTCTTTATCTCTTCCTATTTATAGGGGATATTCTTGAGAAGCCCTAAAAAAGTACAACTGAATGGAATATTCTTTCTTTCTATTCTAACTTATCCTACCGTTATTTTCATACACCCTTTGCTCGACCTGGGCCCTAATCTTTCTTAAAGCGACTCCTCGCCCTTATGCCATGGTCGGCTTAATCCTCGACCACGTCCATTTGCAGCTATTAAGTCTAATCCAAATTTTGACCAATACAGCCTTAGGGAAATCATTTCTACTTAATTTCTAAGTATTTGCTATTTGGTGCTACCAAACAAGGAAAAAAAGGAAAACATATTTTAGAAAATGTTCTCCCTGATACCAAACACACCCTTAGTTCAGACTTGGAAATGTACTCAGGTAGTATAAATTACTTTACCAATCTTATCGGTTCTGAAAAAAAAAAGATGCATTCATTCTTTAGCTAAAAAAAAAAAAGGATAATCTGGTGCACAAGACATCTCGCGTTCATGCAAGGTCGGAGAAGAGCCGCACATTGGGATATATGATGTAGACAGCCTACGCTAATGCAAGCATTTGTGGCTGTTCCAATGCTCGAACGCGTAACGTATAAGTCACACGAAGACAAATTTACATTGCTCCAATGGAACAAGAGCCATTAAGAATAGGTACAACCAAGAGAAGGACAGTTGCCGCGTCCACTTTCATTCACTATTAACACTCTTTCAATCTAGTAAAGGTCCAGTTTGTATACAAAGAATCAAGACTAGCATCTTTTTAACTATACATCTTCCTACGAGTATGCAAAATTTACATGAACTCACCATAACTCCCGAAAATTAGAAAGGAGAATGGATTAAGAGATTACAAATAAAATGACAACAAAAATATATGGAAAATGTACTAGACAAATAAACATCTATGATATATATATATGTATACGGTTAGCTTTGTAGCTTTCGCGGTTAGGATGAGAGTGCAAGCTCGGCCCATGCCAAAGACAATGCCTTGAGCTCAGCAGTTATGGATGTGTCAATGTTGCTCTTCAACATAGCACACAAGTCTCTCATGGAAGTCCTGCTACTGGAATTTGGGTGGATACAAAGGTTGACCACCTCACAAATCACTTTGAGGTCTTCATATTTGAAATGTTTCAACTCAGGATCTACAACATTAGGCAATACCTCTGGCACTTCAAGGAACTCTTTCGCCTGCCACATCAAAGTCAACATCAGATTCCGTAAAAGTTTTGCACAAGTGTCCGTGTTCTACAAAGTCTTATCATATACAAAAACTTCTCACATGGAAAGAAATGCTTACCCAATCTACCAAGCACCCTTTATCTTTGCAATATGGAGGTCTCCCGCTAATTATTTCGAGCAGTAGTACTCCAAACGCATAAATATTACCCTGGACGTCAAGATGACGACTCTCTAGAGAATTTGGAAGGACACATATTGCTCCTTCACTACTGATAGCACCAGAATTCTTTTCTGATCTGGCAATTATTGTTTTCCAACTTTCAAAATCAACAAGCTGCACCAAGATAAAATAAAATTTGAGAATGTAATTATCTTTTGTAGAGATACTAGGAGTATTAGTTATAGTTCAATCGTTAAATTTTTTTCACCATGCACTTATACTACGTAGCTGATAGAAACTTTACGTCACAGAAAATGAAGCATCATAACTTTGAATTCCTGAGTCCACCACCATTGCTTATAGATTAGCTCAATTGACAGGTCAACTAGAAATTTTACTCGTAAATTGGTTTTGACGCAGTGTTAAAGATATCTTTTGCTTACTCTGGGAGAAAAATCTTCGGTGAGATAGACAGCGTTTGAATTCAATTCAGATATAGTAAATGGTGGGACAAGTTCTGAATGGAGAAATTTTAGTCCCTTAGCAATGCCAATAACTATTTTCATCCGCCGGGTCCAAGAAAGTTGACATCCTTCTCCATCTGAGATAAGTTCAAAGAGTTTGAATTTCAGCCTCTAAAATATAAAGTATGCGCACGTGTAAAATAATTTATTCCACTCACAATGAAGGTGTTCATATAACGTCCCGTTAGATGCATACTCAAACACCAACATCCTTGTGAAGGGACTGCTCTCACTGCAGTAACCTAGAAGTTTTGCAGTATTCTCATGATTTATTCTCGCTAATTCTGCTACCTGAGTTTGTAAAACCATATAAGTTAGAGCATTGCATCAAAGATGAAAATTTTAGGTACTTTTATTGCACATGAGAGATCAGCTTTAGCCAGACATTATGAGGAAATAATAAGTTTCACCTCTTTCTGAAAATAGAGTTCTAGATAGGCGGTCCAGTGCTCTTCTTTAACACAAAGGGAAATGACAGCAATTTCAGGTCCGCCTTTCATGGTTCCTTTGTAGACCAAGCTGTCTGGTGAGGATCCAATAATATTGCTGAAATCTTCACAAGCTACCTCAAGTTCTTGTCTGCTATATCTTAGAACGTCTTTTAGCATCTCAGTATCTGACAAAGAAATATGTGTTTGTTACAATAGAAACGTGAAGTATAATTAATGCTTCTGAAATTGTAGTCTTATATGAAAAAATATCAAGTAACGATTAAAGGCAATTTACTATAAACGCCCAAAATGAAATTGCATGATACTCACCTACATAAACTGTCATATGGTCTTTCTCACTAGCTGATTTCTTCCAAGGGATGATGATAAATGAAGATTTGTTCTTGTACTTGTTAATGGCAGTAAGAATAACCACAAGGAAGAGAGAACCTGCAATAACTCCGGTTACCACTTCTAAAGCTAAAAGCCACGTGGGTTTTGAAGTAGCCTTATGTCTGGCTCCTCCTTCAGCAGACCGATGCTTATTATTGCTCTGTGTTGGATGGCTTTTGGCAGGCGGCGTGCCTCCTGTAATGCGAAAGTTACATCAATTCAATCCTATTAAACTTGATCTGTTCGACTGCGACTGTTAAGGAAATGGGCTAAAGCCTCTTTAGGATATGCTATCAAAAGTAAGCATGACCAGCTTGGACTTTCACCCCTTGATGTGATGCATTAAAGATTCAAGGGCTTATTTTATGATTCTGTTCAAGTGTAAGAGTTTTCATCTGCGACTGATAGAAGTTGTCTAGCAGATTACATACCACATAAAGCAGTAGAACGCTGTCTAGGATCTTTTTCTTGAAGGCAGTTTCCTTGAAAGCTAGATCTATAGCAAGAGCAAAATAACAGGTGTTCAGAAATCGAAAATAGAGTAGAAAAAAATGCATGTGCATTAGAATGAAGAACTATACTTTGGAAGGAAATGCAGACACTTTGGTATGCTGCCAAAGAAGAAGTTGAAGGAGAAATCAGCAACTTTCAGTTGAGATAAACGACAAAGACCAGTAAGTTTGGCACCGGAGGCATACCTAAACAGAAACAAAAGAAGATTACTAAGCAACCAACTTTGAGATAAAAATGAAAGGGATCTATACAGAACAATGAGAAGCTCAAGCAATCATAAAAGGGTTTACTGATTTTTCTAGAAGAAGATACAGAATATTGCTACATCATCACCCATGACTTTTTGAATATACATGTTGAACGCTATAAGATTCCATTACAAATCATTGTTGTTGTCGATTTAAGGGTATAGCACAAAGAAATACTTCATAGAACTATGACCAGTTAACCCATATTCTCCTCACACAACACTGACCATAGACGCAGGAAGGAAAAATAAGTGTGTGAAGTTTCTAGAAGTAGAATGATTATGTCACATCAAAAGTTAAAGGTACAACAGACATGAATGTCAACAAAAGGCCAGCAATATCAGTCAAGACCCAAGACTAGAAAAAAGTTCAAATACTAGCAATAATTTTTCAATTTTCAGAACTTTGTAAACATTCAGACATAAGGCACCAAAAAACGTTGCAGCAAATCATATGCTCATTGAGATAGTATGGGTTAATTTACTTCAATAAAAGATAAAAAGGAAATATAAATATCAAGCTTTAAATATCTCAAAAAATTTAATGCTCTCAAGTCCTGGGAACATTAGAGTTTAGATCAACAATTTTTTATTGAGGTATAATTAGAGGCTTCAAGAGAAGATTTCAAGCTTCAGATAGTCC